CTTTCAGTTCCAAAGACAAGGACCAAACGTAAAGAGATAAGCACCAAGAGTTATTCTTGGCCAGGCCGCGGGACTGATTCATGAACAGCAGTATGAAGGCCTGAAAGGTCATGCTTACGTGCTTGAGGAAGACACTGAGGTCTGGGTGAGCCTGGGGGTTGATGGTGGCCTCAAACACCGGCAGGAAAATATTCTCCAGCATCTTTCCAAAGTGTGGGAGGAAATTCTTAGATCGGAACACATCACTGGAGGCAAGAATAAAGAGAAATTAGAAGGAAAGGAGAAGATTTTTTTAGAATTGATGGCCCCCTTATGAGAGAATCAGAGGATCAAATACCATGTACAGAAAAAAGAACTGGAATGTTCACCCCACATCCACTCCCATATATTTTTCTTGCTTACCCATAAAGAGGGGTTCAGTTTGGGATAGGCAGAGGAAGTATTTCTAAACTATGTGCCATCTCTTCTAGACCTTCTCTTCTACAAACCCCCTATGGTAAGAAAACCAAGCCTTCACACTTACATCCAGATAGAGAATGAGCAAAGTTTCAGTTATTTATACAAGTACATGGTATACAAGTTGGTGAGCATGAAACGGTGATCAAGAATATCTCTGATCTGGGCTGGGGTTGTGACTCAGTGGTAGAGCATTTGCCTATCATGAGTGAGGCACTGGGTTCGATCCTCAGCACCACATATAAATAAATGAATAAAATAAAGGTCCATCAACAACTACAAAATAAATTTTTAAAAAAGAATATCTCTGATCTGTGGTACTACACAATGTAATATTACTCAGCCACAAAGAAGAATAAAATTATGGCATTTGGAAGTGGACACTACTATGCTAAGCGGAAATAAGCCAATCCCCAAAAAACCAAAGGCCAAATGTTTTGTTTGATATGCTGATGCTGACTCACAATGGGGGGTAATGGGTTTCCCGGGATAGAACAAGAGGAAATAGGGGGAAGGGAGGAGAGATGGGAATGGGAAAGAGAGTAGAATGAATTGGACATAAATTTCCTTCGTTCATGTATGAATACACAACCTGTGTAACTCCACATTACATGCAACCATAAGAATGGGAAGTTATACTCCGTGTATGTATGACATTCTACTGTCATATATAACTAAAAAGAACAAATTTAAAAAGAATTAAAAAGAATCTCTCTGATCCATGGTAACAACAGACAATAGCACTTTATATATGCCAGCCGCTGTTCTAAGAAGTGGCCAAAAATATCAGTTAATTCAATCTTCATAAAAATGTTAGGTGCCATTTTTACTCCTTTTGAGAGACAATGAAACAAAGGCACAGAGAAGTCATGTAACTTGCCCAAGTCACACAGCTAGTAAGTAGTAGAACCAGCATTCAAGCACAGCCAGTCTGGAGCCAGAGTACGTACTCCTCATCACCATACTCTACTGCCTTGCTACCTTAATGGTATTAGATAGAAAGTGCTACCCCTGTCAAAGATCTAATTTTTTTTGGCCTAAGAGACAGGATAAAACTCTTGCATTGCCACAGGGCACACAGAGCACCTGGGCGGTTGCCAGAGAACACATACACAAGTAAGTTAGATAAAACATCAATGATACTGAACCTACTGAGAGAGAAACTATCCCTGAAGGCAGTGAGTGATGATGTGTGGCATGAAAGGGAGCCCACTTCCTCACTTCCTCCGCAGTACCAGTTTGGGACTCTTGAAGGAAAACATGTGATCATGGAGAACTTGAGCACGTTCACATGTGGGTGGGACAATCAGCAGACCCTGGTCACAGTTCTGATACAAGACAGCTACATCCCAGTCCAGATGAATGTGGGAAAGAATGAACTGGACACAGAGGAGACCAGGAGAAAGAAAGTATCCACTGAAATGTACACAGTTCTTCTTTTAGCTTGGTGCTTATTTAGATTCTGGTTCCAATATTGAACTTGAAATGCTCTTTCTAATTCCTGTATGTGGTCAACAGTGCTGTGCCCAGAGTGGACAGAACCAAGCATGCAGGGCCCTGTACTGAGGTGCTGCTTCAACAAAACTGACTTCTGTCTACGTGGTCTGCATGTTGCTTGTTCAAGCAGGGCCGCTGAGGCAGGTCATGGGAACAGGCTATAGGCTTCCCATGGGCAGGTACATACTAGATCCTAGGGACCTGGATCATCCATGTCATGTTGGGGCAGTAGATGCGGTTGCTGACAAACCAGGAGGAGAGTTTGTTCCACTCTTCAGGACTACGGCCATAGATGGACAGGCGGGGCTCTGCATGCTGGTACTTGGCCTCCACCAGGTCTGCACCTACCTCCTGCAAAGCCAAAACAGGAATCCAAAGCCAGAGATTCCCACCAGCCCCTCAGGGGCCTAAACCCATGGGATCTAGGGAGAGGTGATGGTTACTAAGAAGAATGGAGGGAATGTTAAAAACAAACAAACAAACATAAAAGGAAAAATATTTTGGAAAATATTTCTCAGTGAAGATCTAATGGCTCTCAGAATTCAGGAGGAGAATTCAGTGAGGATAAAAGACCCATAGAACCTGACAGAGACCTGAGAGAAAAAAGTCAGACTGAAGATGAGATATCTGAGGGGCCCGCAAAACAAATGCAGCTCTTCATATTTCCTCTCCCCGCAAAACACACTGCTCCCAACTCCACGTGCTCCCTAAGACACAGGCATCGTGAGGATGAGTGTGGATTCCCACCCAGCTCTTCCTGAATTTGCACCCAGAGCCTGGAAAAGCCAGGTCCTTAATCCCCAAGCCACACCCTTAACTTTAATAGAGGTCTGTTAAAATTATTAGAGTGGCTGCTTCAGAAGAAATACTTGCATTCTTTTGGGTAGGGCTCGACTCCAGAGATGAGGAACCACATCTTCCCTTCCTTCTGTCCTTCTTCCCTCCCTCCTTCCTCAAGAGCCATGCCAGTTTCCATAGATCCAGTTGGTTCATCCCCTACACCCCTTCCTTCCCCCCAAAAGATTCAGTTGGTTCTTCCTCACCTTGATGATAGTGGCAAAATATTCTCCGTTAATGCAATTATCTGTCTTCAGGTAGAGGTCCCTTAGCTCGCTGGCTCCCACAGGATTGTATTTGTCATTGAATTTATCAAAACGCTGGAATGTCTGGCGCCCCTGGATCAAGAAACAGGAGTAGAACCGTAAGATTATCAGCTGCCTGGACACAGAGTGCTAGGGAATAGCCAAGAGGAACAGGGAGCTGATAACAGGGGAAGGGGTTGGGCTCTGAGAATGAAATCTGGGACAAATGACAGACAGTGAGTGAACTTCAAAAGTGGCTTTCTGTAAGGGTGGTAAATCAACATAATTGAGAGGACAGTGAGAAGCAGAGTCATAGGAGAAAGATACGTGGGGTTTTGAGATAGGTTCACCTACAGCGTGAACATCCAGAGAATCAACAGTCAGGTCGTATGGGTGCATTTTTAATTTAGTAAAGAGTTCCTTCAGTGTCAGAGTCTTCTCATTGGTGCTGTAGACCACTCTGTCAGCATCAATTTGGTAAGATTTCTTAATAAAACGCAGCAGATGTTTCTGGTTCATGCAGGCAGCTGCATGGATGTGGGTGTCCACCTGTGTGCATATTCAGAGAAAGAAAAACCAGCCATCAGCTTTAGTTATACTCTGTTAGAGGCTATGGTGCCTGCAAATCCTACTGTGGCAGAAGAATGGAATAAAAACTGGTGGTAGGAACTGACAGCTGGTGGAGGTGACCCAGCAATAAAGAACCCATTTTCACCCTTTCTGTGCCTGTGCAAGGATGTATAAGATTTGACTAGATGCAGTCATAGTGCTTGCTTCTCTTGTGCATGAGTACATCCAATATACTTCCACATTTGACCCACACAGAATTCTTGGGGACCATTCTCCACCCCGGAAATACAGTTAGAAGTAATGTAGCTACCATAGCTTTCCTCCCAAAAGAAGATAGGGTTGAAATGATGAGGCTATGGCACAGTGATGATGTTTATGAGATAGATATTTTTATAAGTATGATTTTATAAGATGAAATGTTTGGGGTTTGTTTTATTTTGTTGGTATTGGGAATTGAACCCAGAGGTGATTTAACACTGAGATACATCCCCAACTCTTTTTATTTTTTTCTGTTTTGAGACAGGGTCTCAGTTCCTGAGGGTCTTGCTAGTTGCTGAGGCTGACTTAGAATTTGGCAATCCTCCTGCCTCAGTTTCCCAAGTCACTGGGATTACAGGATTATAAACTAGGCCACTGTACCCAGTTTATAAAATGATGTTTTGACAGATTATTTATTTGTCCAAAATTAGACATAAAGCTGAGCTAAGATTTGGGCCTAAATTTTTGTTCAGATGTTTCCTATTCCTACTTTCTGCCAATCATTTAACTTGCCAGAACACATACTGCAAGTGTTTCTAATTGATTGATTTTCACAGTCATTAGCTCACTGGGTACTCACAATTTCACAGAAGCTGTTTTGAGCAGATATATTTCCCAATTTTACAAATGAGGACACTGGAACTCAAAAACTACTATTTAATTACTTCCCCCAAAGTTTTAACTCAGGAAGCAGAAGAAAAATAACTAGAAGGAAGATCTTGTAAATCCTAGAATTTTAATTTGTGAAGTTTTGTTTGTTTTTCTTATTTTTGTTTTTGATGATAAGTGCGGTGCTGAGGATCAAACCCAGGGTCCTGCCCATGTTAAGTAGAATACTTCCCTCAAGTGTGTGAAGCCCTGAGTTTGACTCCCAGCACTACACACACACATACACACACACACACACACACACACACACACACACACTTATAATTTTTTATGCTAAGAGTTTGGTATATCTTTCTCTGGAACATAGTAATTTAGACATAGTCTCTCTGCTTTCACTAAAAATCCACAAAACCTGAGAAAATTTTGATTAATTAGAAAATAGTGTTCTTGCCCTTTTCAATAAATCATTGGATTAATGTTTTTGCCAGGAATTATCTCTGAGTATCTAAACTTTTTACCTTCCTGCAGTTATAAAAATCTCGGTGGGGGTTGTTTTTCAACTCCTTAAGCTCATCCATCTCATTGAGCATCTGATGGACTTGGAACTTGGAAGAGAGGAACTTCAGGCGACGGTGGGTATAGGTCTTACTGTGAAAAATAAAAATCACGTAATTCTAAAACAGTCCGAACATTAAAGGAAAACAATCACAATTTCAAAATCATCAGAACCCTTATCAACCAAAGGAAACAAATATTAGAACAAATGTTTCAGGCTTCTATACAGTTAATCTCACTGAAAAGTACTGAGCTCCAAGTGGGGCGTTTGGCACATGCCTGTAATCCCAGCTACTCGAGAGGCAGAGGCAGGAGGATCACAAGTTCAAGGCCATCCTGGAGAACTTCAGCAGACCCTGACTCAAAATGAAGTTTTAAAAAGGGCTGGGGATGTAGCTCAGTGGCAGAGTATTTGCCAAGCTTGTGTAAGACCCTGGGTTCAATTCCCAGTACTACCAAGGGAAAAAAAAAAAAAAAAAGCATTGAGCTCCACTTCTTCATCAAAGTTGGACATAATCACAAGGGAGAACTTGAGAAGGCATTTTAATATCAGTGGTGACAAGTGTTGTCTAAAGTTAATGGTCCCAGCTGAGCATAGGGCAGACACTTGTAATACCAGCCTCAGCAATTAAGTGAGACTCTGTCTCAAAGTAAAAAGGTCTGGGGATGTAGTTCAGGGATAAACTCAGGGAATGTAAACCCTGGTTTGATCCCCAGTAAAAAAAAAAAAAAAAAAGTTGAGAGGCCTGGCTTTGCAGTCAGCAGATTTGGGCTCAGATCCCTTTTCAGCCATCTGTCTGACTTTGGATAAGTTACTTAACTCTACAAAGTTTCAGCATATAAAACTATAAAAATGCCTCATAGAGCATTTGTGAAAAACCAAAGAAATAAGGTAACCAAAGGTTTAATATAGTATTTGAACAGAGTGAGCATTTGATAAAAATGTATTCTTATTATTAATAATAGTAGCACTGGTTGTTAGCCAGGTCTCACTAAAAAACTTACACAGGTCCTTGGGCAATTAAAGCAAGCAGAAAGTTCATATCATCTAAGAAGTCGGCCAGATTGGGGTAAGGATATGGCTTGGGCTCATCCTTGCTGGCTGCTGCCTCGTTAGGGTAGATGTAAACCACACCGTCTTTCATTTTGAGGTGGTAGCCCAGGTTTGCTGGAAGGTCATCTGTTCGGAAGGGGTCTTCTCCCTTCTTCGGAGGAGGGGTAAAGACTTTTTCAATAAAACAGAGTAATATATCAGCACAAGGATGAATGACCATGTAAAAGTAACCAAAATATGAAAAACTACAATATATCATTAGTTTGGCATCCCATACTTCATAAGTTATAATTATCCAACTGTATTTAATTTATCCAGTAAATAAATTTTTTTTTCACATTATGTGTTCAAAGATGATTAAGTTCATAGTATAAAATGACTATAATAATAATGTTTTATCTAGTATAAGAATAATTTTTGAATTATTTAGAAGTTTACATAAAGTAATTGATATACAACTTAAATAATTTTAATTTTTTACTGAAGTTGGTCATTATAGGCTTCCTGTTTAGAGCATTTTGTTGGGGGGGAGGTACCAGGGATTGAACTCAGGGGCACTTCACCACTGAGCCACATCCCCAGGAGTATTTTGTATTTTATTTAGAGACAGGGTCTCACTGAGTTGCTTAATGCTTTGCTTTTGCTGAGGCTGGCTTTGAACTTGTGATCCTCCTGCTTCAGCCTCCCGAGCTGCTGGGATTACCAGCATTTTATTATGTGCCACCGCACCTGGCCTGTTAAGAGCAGTTTATTATCCTGTTAAATAATTTCAAAGAGCGGGACACAGTGATATATGCCTGTAGTCCCAACTGCTTAGGAGGCTGAAGCAGGAGGATTGCTTGAGCCCAGGAGTTCAAGACCAGTCTGGGCAATAAAATGAGTGAGACTCCATCTCAAATAAATAAATAAATGATAAAATAAAAGAATTGCATAAAAGCAAAGGTAAAACCACAGTTAAGAAAGAGTTTGGCGGGGTAAAGTTGGGAGTTCATAACCCACTTGAATCAAACTGTGAAAGATGATGTATTAAGAACTGTGTAATGTTTTGAACGACCAACAATAAAAAAAATTTAAAAATAAAAAAATAAAAGAAAAAAAAAAAGAAAGAGTTTGGATGGTTACCCTTGAACCCAGGGGTACTCTACCACTGAGCTACGACCAAGCCCTTTTTTGTTGTTGTTGTTTGGTACTGGTGATTGAACTCAGGGGCACTGGACCACTGAGCCACATCCCCAATCCCATTTTGTATTTTTTATTTAGAGACAGGGTCTTACTAGCGCCTCACTAAGTTGCTGAGGCTGGCTTTGAAATTGTAAACCTCCTTCCTGCCTCAGCCTCCCAAGCCACTGGGATTATAGGCATGCCCCACCATACCCGGCATTCCTAGCCCTTTAGAATTTTTATTTTGAGACAGGGTCTTGCTAAATTGCTGAAGCTGGCCTTTAATTTGTGATTCTCCTATTTCAGCCTCCTGAGTTCCTGGGATTCCAGACATGTGCTACCATGTCTGACTCAGATTGTATTTTTTATTTAATAATTTTTTTAGGAGCAGCTTTAGGTAAGCAGAAAAATTGAGTGGAAAGTAGTTTTCATATATCCCCAACCCTCATCCCACATGGCCAGCCTCCCCCACTATTGGCATCCTGCATCAGAGATAACAAGTGTTATAATTGACAGGTCTACATTGACTTGTCATTATGACTGAAAGTCCACAGTTTTCATTAGGATTTATTCTTGGTTTGGTACACCCCATGAATTTTGACAAATGTACAATGACATGTATCAATCTTTATAGTATCATACAGAATAGTTTCCTAAAGTGGTTTTAATATAAAGGGAGAAATAAAATCATTTTTTATTATAGGAATTATAATTTTAATTATGTTTACCACCTTTTAAAGCACATATAATTTCTGCTAAAGGAACTTAGAAAAGAGGAAGTGGGTAAATGTTGCCTTCTTTCCACTGCTGACAATTTCAGCCTAAGAAGGCCCGAGATACATTCCACACTGGCACAATTTTTAAGCACTCACTCCTTTATTTTCAACAAATATGGTCATTCATGCTTGTGTAATGCTGTGCCCAAGGAAGGCATCACAAAATCTCTTTGCAAGTCACGCCTAAAGTAGTCGGAGTGACAAAAATAATAAAGCCTAGCATGATTAGCCAGAAACGGTGGCACTTGCCTGTAATCCCACTGATTTAGGAGGTTGAGGCAAATTTGAGGTCAGCTTCAGCAATTTAGCAAGACCCTGGTGACTTAGCAGGACCCGGTCTCAAAATAAAAAATAAAAGGGGCTGGGGATACAGCTCAGTGGTAAAGTACCAGGTTCAATAGGAGGAGGGGGAGGGGAGGGGAGGGGAAGG